CTTCATTTTGCTCAGCATTCACATATGATTTATTAACTTTACACATCCTAATATTGGCACATTTGCATGGCAAATTGACTCGAATCCTCAAAAAGTGCATATAAAAAAAAAAACATATTTTGTTATATCACTCTGATTCAGTATCGCATATTCAGCGTAATTCGGCAAAAATAGACAAGCATTCCCATAGACAATAAACTCTAGACTCATACTGGAGGATTTTACTTCCAGAACACATTGGACTAGGTCGGATCTACCTACTCCACAGGATTCACTTCCAGATTTGGTAAGTCAATTTTGAGGCTGAGACCATTTTAAAATCGATAGTACAACAAAGCAACAATATCGGCATGGTTAGTTTGGCAAAAATTTATTGAAATTAATGTTCTACATGACAATGGAACTCAAAGGAAAACATCTGATTTTTCAATTGATTTCACTTGTGTCCATGGCGTCTTTTTTCTTCAACCTCCTTAAGATAGTCAGCCACCTCCTTGTTATCTGAAAAATAATATCGATTAGTGATGTAGTTTGGATCACAATTTTTTTTTTCTAAACAGAAATGTTCAATAATACCATTCTCAAAAGCTTTTTCATAAGGTGTCTTATTACAATTGTCGGTAGCAGTAACACTGGCTCCATTGACGACAAGAAGTTGAACGATCTTTAAGTTGCCTGGGGAATAATATCGACCAATGAGAAAGATTAACCCTCTAATGCATATATTTTATACAGAGATGGGAATTTTTTTCCATGCTTATTTTACCTCATAAGCACTTAAAAAAATATTCATAATCTGGTATAATGCTGGAATTATCAATAAATTGCAAAAATCAAAATGGTCTTATAAGTACAGTCATGCATTTACGACCAATATGGAAATTGCGAAGTATATGAACAAACCGAATTTGCATAGCTGTACTTATAAGAACAGCTTGCAAATTGAGTGATGTTGACATCGGAATTCGTGAATATCATTTTTTCTGGATTATTTGTGATAAAAATAGGTTAAAATAAAATGAAAATAAAATTCCACACTAAACCAAGCACACAAAATATCAAACAAAAAGAAATCCAAATTGCATGGCTGTACTTATAAGAACAGTATGCAAATTGACGGACAAATGTTGCACAATTGTAAAAAATCATTGAACTTGAATTGAATTTGGTTAAAAACACTCCAAATAAGCAGAAAAAAAATTCCTGAGGTCAACAAAATAATTTTATTCGATTTAATCATGTTTCAAAAACAGGACACGAAACGAAAATAATTTATTTTTACGGAAACGTCGTTTTCTTGTACAAATGTTGTCATAACTTGACACTGGTTGACCGCACACAAAATTTTTATGAGAAAGAAATGTGCGCTAGTGTTCTCCAACGAAAACTGTCATACATTATTTTGTGACATAATCAATGATTCGCATTATAGAAAGGTTTAAATGAACCAACCTTATAAGTTCACGTATGCACTAGAGGGTTAAACCAATTTCTTATTAAGTGAAAATATTCAAAATTACCATTTGCAGCAACCATATGAAGAGGTGTCCGTTTAAGAGCGTCTATAAGATCAACCTTGGCTCCTTTCGTGATGAGCTTTTCAACGATATCCATGTGACCTGAAATGTAACACAGATTAACAATATTAACAGATTAACGGTGACCACAAATAGTGACTTTTTTGACCGTTAACGAAATTACCATAGTAAGCAGCTATATGAAGAGGTGTCTGATTATTGTAATCTTCACAATTAACATTAGCTCCGTTCGTGATGAGCATATCAATGATATCCTTGTGATCTGAAAAATAACACCGACCAATGAAAAAAATCAAACAAATTTCCTAAGCGAAAATAAATAGACAACATTACCCTTAATAGCAGCATGATGGAGAGGTGTCCGATTTAAATAGTCTTCAACGTCAACTTTGGCTCCGTTCGTGATGAGCATATCAATGATATCCTTATGACCTGAAAAATAGCACTGACCAATGAAAAAAATCAAACAAATTTCCTGAGTAAAAATTAATAGACAACATTACCATTCTCAGCAGCGTAATGAAGAGGTGTCTTGTCATGGCAGTCTCCGAAATCAAGATTGGCTCCTCTTGTGATGATTTTTTCAACGACATCCTTGAGACCTGGAGGATAACACCGATCTCCTCTTATAAGAGATAATTATTTATCGAAACTACATTTATCCAACATTACCCTTCATAGCAGCATAATGGAGAGGTGTCCGATTTAAATAGTCTTTAACATCAACTTTGGCTTCTTTCATGATAAGCTTCTCAGCAGCATCCTTGTGTCCTGAAAAGTTAGTCCAGTCAATGAATTAGATCCAAGCGCTTTCTTATTTAGTGAGCAAAAATATTCCAAATTACCATTCTCAGCAGCTAAATGAAGAGGTGTCTGATGAATGTTATCTTCCGAGTTGATATTGGCTCCTTTCGTGATGAGAATTTCAACGACATTCGAGTGACCTGAAAAAGAACACCGATCAATGAACAAAATCCAAACAATTTCTTGTTTTGTGAAAAAAAAAACGTGCAACATTACCATTCTCAGCAGCATAATGAAGAGCTGTACGATTATTGGCATCTTTGATATCAACTTCGGCTCCTTTCATGATGAGCTTCTCAGCAACATCCTTGTGTCCTGAAAAGTTAGTCCAGTCAATGAATTAGATCCAAGCGTTTTCTTAATTGGTGAGCAAAAATATTCCAAATTACCATTCATAGCAGCCAAATGAAGAGGTTTGCGCTGTTTTTCGTCTGTCGAATCAACTTTGGCTCCTTTCATGATAAGCTTCTCAGCAACATCCTTGTGTCCTGAAAAGTTGGTCCAGTCAATGAATTAGATCCAAACGCTTTCTTAATTAGTGAGCAAAAATATTCCAAATTACCATTCATAGCAGCCAAATGAAGAGGTTTGCGCTGTTTTTCGTCTGTCGAATCAACTTTGGCTCCTTTTGCAATTAGCTTTTTAACGTCGTTCAAATTACCTAAAACAGATCAATGAAATAGATTCAATCAATTTCTGATTAAGTTAGCATAAATATCCAAAATTACCATTCTCAGCAGCATCATGAAGAGCTGTTCGGCCTCTTTCGTCTTTTTTGTTTGCTAAAAATTGAAAGAAAAATAGATCAGTGAAGTGAATCGAGAGAAAATGTTTTACATTCGTGAAGTGAACTTTGCCACACTTTCTTGTCAAAAATGATAGCGAAATGAGTGTTCCGTTAATTGGAGCAACTCTTCAATTCCACAGAAAAAGTGGGATACGTCATGTCGGAAACCCATATAATATTGAGCAGTTTTTTTTTGAAAATATAAATACCAGAGATAAGGTAAGACATGCCATCAGATAGCTTTGATGTGCATCGTGAAATTATGTTTCAGTTTTATTGAAGCGAATCACTCAGCGGTAAACTTCAAAAAAAGATTGCGTACTAGTGTTGTGTTTGAAAACTCTTTAGACTTTCATGGAAGCCTTAACGCGTTCATCTTTGCTTTGAGTTGATCTCCATATTTTTTGAATGCACGCGTTCAATTTTATTCTCAATTTTTTTTCAATTCGTTCGAATGTAGAAGAATTGTGAATTGAAACGATCGCCTGTATATAAAATATACACAGTGCTGCTCACAATATGGGCTTTCAAGTTGAAAGTTTCAACATGTCGATCGCTGTTGCTGTGTCACATACACAAACATTGCGCTGTTTTGTTCATCGTCGTTGTCGTCGTCGTCGCAGCTGTTTGTTAACACGATAACTCAAAAAATAATTAAGATAGTCAAAATCTGAAAATGCCAAAAGTTTTTGATTCGAAAAATTTAGTTTAATTTCGAAGATGAGCCATTTTCGATTTGATCCTGGGGTACTTGCCCTAAGAAACATCTCAAAAAATTGACACTTTTGTATGGGAGGTACCTGTAAATCGCCTCCGATTGGATTTTGGGAGAAAAATAAGATTCTGAAAGTTTGAAACCAATCGGAATCGATTTACGGGTACCTCCCATACAAAATTGTCGAAGTTTTAGTTAAAGTGACCGATTTTTCACTTTATTTTTATTATTATATTTTCACTGCCTTTATTTCAAGAAAATTCACAAAAAATAACCAAAAGTACCTACAGACAACGCAGGCCAACGATACGGAAAAGTTCGGGATTACCAATGTAATTCTTTTTATCTGTACTACATTTTCGCTTCAAACTACTCATATGTGGAATAGTGGGAACGAAACTTAAAAAAAGAAATGGAGCTTCAATCTTACCTTGTAGTACTGCTCCCTTCACTTTGGTAAGCAGTCCACAGCCATGCTCACAGCCGTTCCCAGGCCCACCCTCAGTTTGCTTCAAGTTGAAAATTAGGAACGAATAAAGGATAATTAGTTTGGAATAACCAAATTGAATGAATTGACATGTAAAACTGATGGATTTTTGAAACAAACAAAAAAACATTTGTAGAAATAAAATGTCGGGTAAAGAACCGTGTTGTACACTGAAGATCTCGTATCAGTTTCGTGAAAAATGTAAAATAAAAACGAACATATATGCGTTTTTAAGCATATTTTGAGGTCGAATGAAATGTCCTCTTCATAAGGTATAATTTTGTTTCGATTACTTTCTTCGTTTTCGAAAAGTCAATTTGTATGGAAAATGAAAAAAAAGCTCTTCATGTCATCAATCGACCTGATGAAAAAAAATATACAGAAAAAGTTGTAAGTTACCATGAATTGGTCTCCCAAAACCGCAACCAGAATCAAACAAACTAAACGGAGAGAAAATATCGATTAAAACACAATGAGTAACTGAATTCTTAAGTATTGCCAAAAATGAAAATTAGACAAAAATGATGGAAAAAAAGAATTAAAAGAGACTCACCCATCAATTGCTTAGACATGTTTATAGTCGAATCACTTGAACAATAACTAATTGCTCACGATGTTGGTGCCCGATTTATAGTCAAAAATTAAATGTTTCAAACTTGTCATCATTATTACACGCGCAGAAAAACAAAATTCAAAACCGAATTCCTTACGATTGAATTCGAAAACCAAATATTCAAAAAAATTCTTCTCGCTTTATGTCTATTTGCTTATTTTTCGATGTTTGGAATACACAGGTGCAGATGTATAGATAAATGGGCTCAATATACGCCTGAAATTATTGGGAACAAGCTTCAATGGAATTTTTTTTTCTAAGAATAATTTATTTTCGAATTGATCCAATGTATATACGACGAAAGATACCTATGTCTATGAATACTGTTCATGCAACAGTCAAAGGTTTTTTTCTTTTGAATTTATGATGTGGCTGGAAAGCTTCATTTTGCTCAGCATTCACATATGATTTATTAACTTTACACATCATAATGTTGGCACATTTGCATGGCAAATTGACTCGATTCCTCAAAAAGTGCATATTTTATTAAAAAACAACATATTTTGTCATATCAATCTGATTCGGTATCGCATATTCAGCGTAATTCGGCAAAAATAATGCGATTCAGCAATCAGAATTTCCATAGACAATAAACTCTAGACTTATACTGGAGGATCTTACTTCCAGAACACATTGGACTAGGTCGGATCCACCTACTCCACAGGATTCACTTCCAGATTTGGTAAGTCAATTTTGAGGCTGAGACCATTTTAAAATCGATAGTACAACAAAGCAACAATATCGGCATGGTTAGTTTGGCAAACATTTATTGAAATTAATGTTCTACATGACAACGGAACTCAAAGGAAAACATCTGATTTTTCAATTGATTTCACTTGTGTCCATGGCGTCTTTTTTCTTCAACCTCCTTGAGATAGTCAGCCACCTCCTTGTTATCTGAAAAATAATATCGATTAGTGATGTAGTTTGGATCACATTTTTTTTTCTAAACAGAAATGTTCAATAATACCATTCTCAAAAGCTTTTTTATAAGGTGTCTTATTACAACTGTCGGTAGCAGTAACACTGGCTCCATTGGTGACAAGAAGTTGAACGATCTTTAAGTTGCCTGGCGGATAATATCGACCAATGAGAAAGATTAAATCAATTTCTTATTAAGTGAAAATATTCCAAATTACCATTCTGAACAGCATAATTAAGAGGTGTCTCATTCAAGTGATTTTCAAAATTAACATTGGCTCCTTTCGCGATGAGCATTTCAACGACATCCCTGTAACCTAAAAAATAACACCAGACATTGAAAAAGATCAAACCAAATTCTCATTTATTGAAAATAGGTACCATTCTTGGCTGCTAAGTGAAGAGCTGTTCGATCAAAAGAGTCTGTAATATCAACTTTGGCTCCGTTGCTGATAAGCTTTTCAGCGACAACCTTGTGTCCTAAAAAGTTACACCGATTAATGAAAATGATCAAATCGATTTCTTATTTATTAAAAATAAATATTTAACATTACCATTCAAAGCAGCCAAATGAAGAGGTGTCCGCAACTGATCGTCAGTAGAATCAATTTTGGCTCCTTTCGTAATGAGCTTTTCAACAACATCCAATTTACCTTGAACAAATCAATGAAATATAGTCGATCATATTCTGATTTAGTGAACAAATATGTTCAAAGTTACCATCCTCAGCAGCGTCATGAAGTTCTGTCTGGCCGCTATTGTCTTTTTTGTTCGTTAAAAATTGAAGAAAAAAAAGAAGATCAGCGAAGTGAATCGAACGAAAATGTCAGACACAGAAAAAGTAAGGTATTTTATGTCGAAAAAACATAGAATATGCCTATATTGAGCTGAGTTTTGAAAATGTTTCATGAAATTACATGATAAGCGTGTAGTTTATTCAACGATTGAAAACTTACGCAATGGCATTTTCTTAAAAACTGTATTGGCTATGAAATCCTGAAATCTAAGAGAGTAGAATGATGGATCACACACGGATACCGCATTCTAAAAATTTGAATAACAACAACAGCAACAATCACACATTTGAATTAGAATTTGAATTGATGTGTGTGTGTGTATGAAAAATTTGTGAAGCATTATGCTTACCCCATTATGAACCATACTTTTGTATGCATGCTCTAGTTTTCTCTTCAAACGGTACGATTGTAATACATCAATTATACCGATGAATAGTAGTAATCGTTCGCCTTTTCCATTGCGCGCTGGGATTCCGCCAGGTCTGTCAAGTGGATCATGATGCTTATGTGAAATGGTTCTTGGATCGGGAATCACGTGCGATGGTCGTTTTGTTTTTTCCTGTTTTTCTCTAATTGCTAAATCCAAATTATGTACACCAACCAGCAATGAGTAGTCCATAATTCCGAATGATTCCAGTAAACGACAATCACGTTGTATCGTCTTCATCAATGCATTGTACGTATCCGATTCGAGGAATATACCGTTCGGATGATGTTCCATGAAATCTAAATCTCTGTATGTTGGCGATGATTTGGCACGATCTTCTTCATTGAGCTGAAATTTGAATCCAAAATTCCAATTTAGTTTTTTTTTCAAATACGACTTCGTTTTTTGCTGGGGCTTCAATGCACATTTTTCGACTAACTCACCTTTCGTTTGTGTATAGCACCCTTAAAATCGTATTTCTGGTGTATTTTCACGGATGATGGCAACAAATTGTTCATTACAACTAAACGGACATTCTTGCCATTTCCCTCAAAAGAATATAAGCCGAAGAATTTTGATAGGAGTGTATGTGGATTTTGATTTAGATTCGTGTAGTATCCGGACAATAGTTTCGGTAAGAATTCAGCCTCTTGATGTTGTACGGTTTTGATGATGAACACATCGTCATTGCTTAAGTAGAATAATGAACCAGATGCAGCAGGGTTCGACAGTTCTCGCAACGGTGCTGAACACAGAGACGTCTGAAATTCGATGAAAACGTTTGTTTTTTGTGTTTGTTTGCATTTATTACATCAATTAGTTCAACTATTCCGTGAATGCGAGCTACGCGGTTGACAAAATTGTCGGTGATAAATGAGTGAATGCATACCACAAAATAATCCGTTTGGATACCGAACATTTCACGAAAGTATATGAATGCAGCGGGAGCAAAGATCGTAAATTTAAACCCGGCATAGTGGTGTGCAGGCGTTAGCGATGAGCCTCCTGGTGGGAATGATATGGTTTCGAACTTCCCAAATTCGTTCATCATCACATCGTGTTTTGGTCTGAATACTGAAGTACAAACCTAAACCATTAAATGGATAGAGAAAATTTTTATAAATGAGACCCAATAATGTGCAATCCAAAAACGGATCGTTGTGTTTTCGCAGATTGATACATACAGTATGTAGAATTGCTATCTGAATGGAGTCCATAATATGTGACGAATGCATTTTTTTGAATGTTATCTCACTACCGTTACTAACAGTCCGATAGCCCAATTTCTGCTTAGGATCGTATTTTTTGCAGCTAAGACTGTGAACAACGTGTCGATCTACCACATTTGGATCACCATTTACCTGGAAAATATTACAAGCAAAAATGCATTCGTTTTAATCATCTAATACTCTGTGTGTTTTTTGTATATTTTTTATGGCTTCGATACATTGCTTGTTTTTGTTTTCGTGCCTCATTTTGCAAAGACTGAAAAACATTTGTATGTATAATGCGTTAAAAAGCAGAAAATTTCCTTCGTTTCCGAAAGGTCAATATGTATCGAAAATGACAAAAAACTCTTTATGTCATCGATCGACCCCATGCAACAACAAAAAATACATAAAAAATCTAAGTTACCATGAATTGGTCTCCGAAAACCGCGAGAACCAGAACCAAACAAACTAATTGGGCATAAAATATTGATTAAAACACAATATTTGACTGAAATCTCAAGTATTGTCAAAAACGAAAAATTAGAAAAAAATGAAGGAAAAAAAGAACCAAGAATAGACTCACACATTAATTGCTTAGACATGTTTCTAGTCAAATCACTTGAACAATATAACTAAATTGCTACGATTTTGGTGCCTCATTTATAGTCAAAAATTAGATCTTGCAAACATCTCTTTATTATGCCATCTATAGCGAAACAAAATTCCTTATGACTGAATTCGAAAACAAATTATTCAAAAAAAATTGTTTTCCATTTGAGCTTCTTGCGTCAATTTTTGCTTTTTGTCTATTTGCATATTTTTTTTCATGGTTGGAATGCACAGATGCAGATGTTTGGATATGGAAAATGGAAATGAGCTCGTATTGACGCAATGGAAAGAACGAGTGTTGATACACTCAACTTGAGGTTTATTTGTTATTGTTTTACATTTTTGCTTCACAGTTTCAAATTATACTTTTTTTGAAATCGAAGTTGGTTTGCAGTTATGTATCATCAAAATTCGGTTGTTTCAAACACATAAACTGAACATATAAATTTCAATTCTTAAAAAATATTGAAAAAAACCCTACCAATTGCATTGTATCGCATGCCGTGCTAAAATAATGAACGCATAAAAAATTACACACAACAGCAGCATTAAAGACGATGCTCGCTGCCTGCGACGACGTGTACACGCGCGCGAGTGAAAGGAGAAAGATTTCTCGTTTTTTGAAAAATGGGATCCTTGAATTAACAAAGATTCGAAAGAACTTATATTTGATTTTTCACCGAACTAACTGCAAATAAAAGTCGAGATAATTTAATATTTTCTGAGTTTATTGAGAACTTATTTGATTCGGTGTCAGTTTAAGACTGAATTTGTTTCTTCAGTTCCGGTTCTATTTATACTGAAGATTTGACAGGAAATTCATTTCAAACCTACTAGATCTATATTCTTAATCTAACGACAACCTTCTGATTATCTCAGTAGTCGCCTCACAATATTGGAATCATGAATGGAATACGTAGTACCCGTTTACTCACGCGCCATCCGTACATGCGAGACGGCAAGCGTGAGTACACAGTAATGCAACGCATGCTTGTCTGAAACAGACAGTATAGCTTATCCATGCAAGCATGAATATGGACTCAATACAATTCCTGCATAGCACACCAATACCGACACAATAAACCACACGTACACAGACACGAATGATATTTCGTCATAATCTGTTTTGAATGCTGTCGCTGTTATTCTCGGTAGTTCTTTGCGAAACTCACTAGAGGCGCTACTAGTATGCAATAGCTTGACTGTTCAACAACTAATACATTATAAGTGTATAAGAATATTCCGACTTGGAAAAAAATAATTAACAATTACTACCGATTTTTAAATTTGGGTAAAATTTTGTCAATATAAAACGTTTGCGTTCAATAATAATTTTTACTTTTTTCTTATTCACTCATTTTTCGAGAATTCAATCATTTTCTTTTTTAATTTTAACGGAAATGTTTAAATGCATTCACCAAAGTAACTATCAAATTGTAAAACCAAACTATAGGTGATAAATTGTAAATGGGATTTTTCCTGTTATTTACACCTCATACTCAATAAAAAATAAAATAAAATAAAATAAAAATGAACAATATTTTCAATACGACAAACACACAGCTGAACTGCAATACCGATCGGTATTGAAACATTGAAAAACATATAACATGTTTAATTAAAATACATTACATCATATTTAATGAAAAAATAAATAAATAATGCAATTCAAAAATAGAAAATTCAATATTAAATCCATTATTACTTTTATTCATTATATATTTTTGAAATGTCAAAATATTTACAATGACAATTCGCAGAGAATATGGTCAATTTCAACGATTTTTCTCGATATTTTTGCTTAGATTTCAACTAAATTTTTTCAATAAAAGTCTACTTATAAACCCCTAGCCATTTTCAGTTAAGTCGATTTTTAAATTGAACTTTTGAGATCTTTGGCCAGCTCTTCGTGACCTAAAAAAACAAGACAGATCAATGGAAGAGATCAAATCAATTTCTTATTTAGTGAAAATAAATATTCAAAATTACCATTCTCAGTAGCTAAATGAGAAGAGACATGATTGTCTGCAGGTTCAATTTTGAGTCCATTGCTGATGAGCTTTTCAGCAACATCCGCATAACCTGAAAAAAGCACATATCAATCTTGTTGATGATCTTTTTTGATCAAAGCAATTTAGTGAAAATAATATTCAATATTACCATTTATAGCCAAAGAACGAAGAAGTTGCTGCTTGAGTTTTTTTGTCGAATCAATTTTGGCTCCCTTTTTGATGAGCTTTTTATTTGCTGAGCTATTGATTTGGGGGACGTTACCCAAATTATCTGAAACAGATACTTTTCAAAAATGTTTGTCATTCTTAACACCTGCCTGAGCTGAATGTCGAGAATTAGTTAAGATTGGAAACTTACCCGATGGCATTTTCTTAAAAACTGTTTTGGTCATGAAATCCTGAAAGCGCTGAGCGTAGAATGATGGTCGACACACGGAAACCGTATCCTATACATTAGGAATAACAACAACATCAACAATCATACATTTGAATTAGAATTGGAATTGATGTGAGCGTGTGCGTGTGTATATATGAAAAATTTGTGATGCATTATGCTTACCCCATCATGAGCAATACTTTTGTATGCATGCTCTAGTTTTCTCTTCAAACGGTACGATTGTAATACATCAATTATGCCGATGAATAGTAGTAATCGTTCGCCATTTCCATTGCGCGCTGGAATTCCGCCAAGTCTGTCAAGCGGATCATGATGCTTATGTGAAATGGTACTTAGGTCGGGCATCACGTGCGATGGTCGATTTGTTTTTTCCTGTTTTTCTCTAATTGCTAAATCTAAATTATGTACACCAACCAGCAATGAGTAGTCAAAAATTTCGAATGATTCCAGTACACGACAATCACGATGTATCGCATTCACCAATGCATCGTACGTATCCGATTCGAGGAATATACCGTTCGGATGTTGTTCAATAAAATCTAAATCTTTGTATGTTGGCGATGATTTGGCACGTTCTTCTGCATTGAGCTGAAATTTGAATCCAAATTTCAATTCAATTTTTTCAAATACAACTTCGTTTTTTGCTGGGGTTTCGATGCACATTTTTCGACTAACTCACCTTTCGTTTGATTATGGAACCCTTCAGATCGTATTTCTGATGTATTTCTACGGATGATGGCAACAGATTGTTCATTACAACTATACGGAAATTTTTGATATTGTACTGAAAATCATATAAGCCGAAGAATTTGGGAAGGAATGTACGTGGATTTTGATTTATATTCATGTAGTATCCGGGTAATATTTTTTGTAAGAATTCAGCCTCTTTTTGTTGTACGGTTTTAATAATGAACTCATTGTCAATGGTTAAGTAGAATAATGAACCAGATTTAGCATTGATCGACATTTCCCGCAACGGTGCTGAACACAAAGACGTCTGAAATTTGATTTTTTTTTTGTTTGTTCAAATTAATTACTTCAATTCAACCGTTCTGACAAAAAATTCTCTCAGAATATTTGAGAATTGAATCGAAGTATGGGGAACAAAGAGCAGCAATGCAAGTTTTTGAACCAAAGCGACACAAAGCAAATGTGAGAAACAAAGTGCAACATAAAAAATCATGTTGCAGTTTAAAGCTGAAACTTGCTTTGTGGCACTTTGTTTCTCAAATTGGTGTTGTTTCTCTTTGAATCTAATTTCGGGCATGATGCAGTCTGTTTCAAAACTATGATAAGTTGATAACGAGTGCGAATTTTGATGTGTCGATAGCACCAATATAGTATTACAAGCTGTTTTCAAGCCGCTCGCTTCGTTTCTGTTGAAAAACATTGCACACAAACACAAACGTGTGCAACATTTATTGCGCGTAAATTTTCAAGAGAAACGAAGCGAGCGGCTCTGTTGTTCGTAACACAACAGCTTGTAATACGAGTAAAAATTGCACATAGGTGTGAGCGAAACAGCATAAGTTTTCGGCGCTCGATTGTCTTCCATACAGGCCAATGCAATAGAATATAATTTTATTTAATATTTACGCATGGAAATATCTCGAAAACGGCTGGGTAAATCGGCAAAACGGACCGTGATGTCACTCCCGTAGGGAATGTAAACACCCATCTGGTTTAATGGCCTAAAATACAAATCCAGTAAAATTTCAGCTCATCCATGGATTCTCCAGTGCTTCCTTTTTTTATGTACATCTGTAAAGTCATATTCCACATATTTTGTATAAAAATTATTGGTAGAATCAGGTCAAATCCTGAGAATCCATGGATCAGCTGAAATTCCACCGGATTTGTATACTAAGCCGTTAAACCAGCCGGGTGTTAACACTCCCTTTGGGAGTGACACCACAGTTCATTTTGCCGATTCACCTATCCGTTTTCGAGATATTTTCATGTTTACATTCGGTCATAGAAGCCAATGCAATAGCAGCGGCGCTCCGAGGTTTTCATACAAACTTCCCATGTAGACGGTACAACACAGGCAAAAATCGAAAAAAAAGTTTAATTTTTTTTTTCGATTCACATACAGTATTCAATGTGCCCAATCCATTGGCGCTATCGGCACATCGAAATTCGCACTCGTTATCAACTTATCATAATTTTGAAACAGACTGCATCATGCCCGAAATTAGATTCAAAGAGAAACAACACCAATTTGAGAAACAAAGTTCCACAAAGCAAGTTTCGGCTTGAAACTGCAACGTGATTTTTCATGTTGCACTTTGTTTCTCACATTTGCTTTGTGTCGCTTTGGTTCAAAAACTTGCGTTGTTGCTCTTTGTTCGTAGGCAAATGCAATGATTCGATTCAAATCTCAAATATTCTGGGAGAATTTTTTTGTCGCAACGGTTCAATTTGTTCGACTATATCCGTAATATGAATGCGAGTTACGCGGTCGACAAAATTGTCGGTGATAAATGAGTGAATGCATACCACAAAATCATCCGGTTGGATACCGAATATTCCACGAAAGTATCTGAATGCAGTGGGAGCATAGTCCTTAAATCTAAACCTATCATAATGGTGTGCAGGCGTTAGCGATGAACCTTCCGGTGGGAATAATATGGTTTCGAAATTCCCAAAATCGTTCATCAACAGGTCTTCTTTTGGTTTGAGTACTGACGTACAAACCTAAACCATTAAATGGATAGAGAAAATGTTTATAAATGAGACCCAATAATGTGTAATCCAAAAACGGATCGTTGTGTTTTCGCAGATTGATACATACAGTATGTAGAATTGCTATCTGAATGGAGTCCATAATATGTGACGAATGCATTTTCTTGAATGTTATCTCACTACCGTTACCATTACTAACAGTCCGATAGCCCAATTTCTGCTTAGGATCGTATTTTTCGCAGCTAAGACTGTGAACAACGTGTTCATCTGCCGCATTTAGACCACCATTTACCTGCACAATATTCCAAGTAAAAATGGATTCGTTTTAATCACCTTATACTGTGTGTGTATGTGTGTGTATGTATATTTTATATGGCGTCGACATATTGCTTGTCCGAAGAAGGAAAAATATATGTACACTACCGTGCAAAAGTTTGGAACCACTAGGTATTTTTCATACAAATTGACCATTTTTGGTGGACTCATTAACATATTTCGGAAACACCAGCACTCTTGATATTTTGTGCATAGTTTCTACAACGTTTCAATAGTAAATCACACACTCTCGAAAATCAGCCATATCTGTTATTAATATACCTTGTAGTAAACGCGTTCATAGTGTTTCACTGTAGTAGCGGTGTATCCTATTAAATTTTCTTGTAGTAATACCACAGTGGAATTTAATAGGATACTTTGCTACTACAGTGAAACACTATGAACGCGTTTACTACAAGGTATATTAATAACGGATATGGCTGATTTTTGGGAGTGCAGAGGTTTCATCAAAATATATTCATGAATTTCAAAAATATAAAAATTTGAATTCGTACTGTGTGAAAAATGATCAAATTTGTTTGAAGATTAAAACAGATCAAATTCAAATTGATATATTTTTTAAATACGTGAATATTTTTTGATGAAACCTCTGTGATTTACTATTGAGACGTTGTAGAAACTATGCACAAAATATCAAGAGTGCAGGTGTTTCCGAAATATGTTAATGAGTCCACCAAAAATGGTCAATTTGTATGAAAAATACCTAGTGGTTCCAAACTTTTGCACGGTAGTTAGACTGCTTCAAAAAAAAAAGTTGTCCCTCATCTGAAAAGTCCGGCCAGTTTCGAAAAATATACCTCAAAAAAATAGGTTTTGTCCAAAAAAACGACATGGGTACCATAGAAATTGGTGAAGCAAGCCCCATATCAAAATTTTGATGACAGAGTTTTCGGAAGCCAATTCATATCGCAACATTTCGACTTAAATCATTTTTCCAGCCAATTTTTGGCAAAAACTGATGATGAGGTTTTGTCTGGCTCGTCAATATCTACAACTTTTACCAAGACATTCTGGGTTGGTACGTAAGAAACTCAACCATGTAAATTACATCAAAGTAACGTATATTACATCATGTAATTTACCTAAGAAAAATCATGTAATTTACATGAATTTGTAAGAAACCTGTAAGAAACTCTGAAAAATGATTTTTTCATAAAGAATGCATGCAAAAAACAAAAGATTTTCATTTGGAAATGAAGAAAATTTGTATTCTATTTTAGTTTTGTTCTTTCTTTATGTAAAAAAATAATTTTGATGATGAACAAAAAGTTCTTCATGTAATTATTTCATTATGTAATCAACGTTTTCAATCGTCTTCTATCAACTATTTATGGAAATATTTGCGTAGTGATTCGGTAATTCTGCATTTCCATATAAATATATTTCCAGAAATAGTTGAAACTTTTTATTAAACATTTATTATAACATTATTTAAATCAAATATAAAAGCATGCAAAAATTCATTTGGCTACACACTGTTATCAAGTATCACTGCGAAAAAACACACTCTTTATGAAAAAATAGCTGGTGGTTTCAAACTTTTGCGTGAATAATATATTAATTAATTATTTATCAGCTAACGCTGTAGAACGAGCATGTATGTACTCTATATAATTTGAATGCTTAAAGCAAACGAGAATAGTCGGTTTTTGTCTATAACCCTGCACTTTTTGGGGCGTTTTGGAGTTTATTACATGCGTTGAGGTTTCTTACGTAATAAACGTAAGATACATGTTTCTTACGTAAATTACTTACACGTCGCTCGAAATACGAAAATTTACCAACCCATAAGACATTAGCCCTTGAAAAGGCATTCTGGGCCAGTTACAGTGTGAAATGACCAAAAAAATGACAATTTTTCGGCATTTTTTGCATTTTACGATCTATTGGTCACCCAGGCGGTAGACTTTTGTTCAGTTTTTGACTTGAGTCATGTAGTTAGAACCTGTACAAAAATTTTGGTACTTGACAGATTGCAATTTGGATGAAATTTGGTGTCGATTGAATCAGACATAAATGACAAATTTCAGGCCAAAATGAGCAAATCACGACTACGAGCTTCGATTTGACAAATAAAAGCAAGCGATTTCTACCTTTTCTGCCTTTAAACATCTAGTATGATCCCTTAAAAACATTTCAAGTACCCACATGACCAAATCGAGTGATGTTTTCACATATTTCTGGCCTCATATTC